CCGAGTCAATACCTTGGGGGCGTAGGTTAAACCCTTTAAACCCTAAACCCTGAAACCCTAAATCCTTATACTGTTAAACCCTAAACCCTTAAGCTGTTAAACCCTTAACCCTTAAACCCTACACCCTTTCAACCCAAAACTTAAGCCCTAAACCCTTCAACCCTAAACCCTTAAACCCTAAACCCTTAAACGTTTAAACCCTAAACCCTTAAACTGTTAACCCCTAAACCCTTTAACCCTTAAATCCTTAAACCCTTAAACCCCAAACCCTTAAATCCTTAAACCCCAAACCCATAAATCCTGAAACCCTGAACCCTTAAACTGTTAAACCCTTAACCCTTAAACCCTACACCCTTTCAACCCAAAACTTAAGCCCTAAACCCTTTAACCCTTAAATCCTTAAACCCCAAACCCTAAACCCTAAACCCTAAAACACTCCAACTGTTAAACCCTAAGCCCTTTAACCCTTAAACCCTAAACCCTTTCACCCTAAACCCTTAAACCCTAAACCCTTAAACTGTTCAACCCTAAATCCTGAAACCCTTAAACCCTAAACCCTTAAACCCTAAATCCTTAAGCCCTTAACCCTTAAACCCTAAACCCTTTCACCCTAAACCCTTAAACCCTAAACCCTTAAACTGTTCAACCCTAAATCCTTAAACCCTTAAACCCTAAACCCTTAAACCCTAAATCCTTAAGCCCTTAAACCCTTAACCCCTTAAATCCTTAAACCCTAAACCCTTGAATCCTTAAACCCTAAACCCTTACACCCTATACCCTTAAACCCTAAACCCTGAAACCCTAAATCCTTATACTGTTAAACCCTAAACCCTTAAGCTGTTAAACCCTTAACCCTTAAACCCTACACCCTTTCAACCCAAAACTTAAGCCCTAAACCCTTTAACCCTAAACCCTTAAACGTTTAAACCCTACACCCTTAAACCAGCCTTCAACTGTTAAACCCTAAAAACTTGAATCCTTCAATCCTTAAACCCCAAACCCTTAAATCCTTAAACCCCAAACCCTTAAATCCTTAAACTCTGAACCCTTAAACTGTTAAACCCTTAGCCCTAAACCCTTTAACCCTAAACCCTTAAAACCTAAGTTTTTAAATTTTAAAACCCTTCACTGTTAAACCCTAAGCCCTTAAGCTGTTAAACCTTAAACCCTTAAACCCTTAACCCCTTAAATCCTTAAACTCTAAACCATTAAACCCTTAAACCCTAAATCCTTAAGCCCTTAACCCTTAAACCCTAAACCCTTTCACCCTAAACCCTTAAACCCTAAACCCTTAAACTGTTCAACCCTAAATCTTGAAACCCTTAAACCCTTGAATCCTTTAACCCTAAACCCTCAAACCCTCAACCGCAACACCAGGTTTAAAGTCAAGGATGCTGGTTTTCGAAGTCAAGCCCAGGAGACCAAATACCCAATAATCAGGTCCCTGCAAAGGGACACTTAGTGGTATATAGAGATATGTATGTACATATATATATATATGATAAATATGTATGTATGTATGTATGTATGTACGTACGTACTTACTTACGTACGTATGTACGTATGTATAGGGTTTAGGGTTTATATGGGGTTTAGGGTTTGAATGCCTTATATTGCTTTGGAAATGCACTTGGCCCTGGCTGCGGTGAAAGACTTAGGGTTTAGGGTTTAAGGTCAGCAGTAGCTGTTGCTGTCGGCTCCCTGATCTGACAGGCCTGAGCTGTTACGTGCAGATTGTGTGATCCAGTTGGCTGGGAGCCACTGATCCATTACGACCATGGGCTGATCCTGTTGGCTGATCCGCCACCCAACGCCGTTACGGACACGCTATGATCCAATACCTCCCAATGGAACCTCATTCAGAGTTGTCGTTTGAGCTCCAAAAAGTTGAGAGTCCCCTGAGTCCTCTCCCAAACCGCGGCGCAGCGCATCCGCCGCTGCCTCTGCTCAGGGCAGGCGTGCTTTGGACAGCGCTACAGCAACCACCAGCGCCAAGCCTGCGTGACACGCTCACCCACAGACATGATCCCCACGTTGCGCTCAAGGGCAGCTAGTCCTTGAGTGCACAGCAGCTTCAGGTTGGCTTTCGATAATGAACGGAGAGCACTACCAAGAAATGATACACACCAGAAACTCTCTGGTACCCGTGACACAGCCTTGCTGCTCACCACCAGCTGCCCGAGCCAGTATCCTTTGATGCTTCCGCGACCCGATCCAAAGTTACGCTCTGGCATTCTCATGTGAGATCTGAGGTTCATATGCACCCACCGAAGTCCATGCAAGGCAGACTGCGGAAGCATCCCATCAATAGCTTTATAGGTGTGTTGGAAAAAGTTTGAGCAATAGCACCAATCATTCAACTTGTATTGCATAGTCGGACCACTACTTTTGGTGAAGCCCTCCTTGCATCTGAGCATCCGAAAGCGTCGGCGGACTCCCTTCTCATCATTTGGGGTCAAGAAGCCCTTCCAGCGGAAAGTATCAATCACAAGCATTGTCCTAGCCCTTGTCAAAGGATGTCATCAGCACAGCGCAAGAAACCTAATGTCCTGGAGGCTTCAAGGACTTACAACACGAGGCTGTCAATCGTCCTCAAACCAGCACTGTCTGAGCAGGACCTGGCGCCACTTGGGAACCTTTTCCTCCAGCAGCTCCACAGCCTTAACCTTGGTGCCACAGGTAACTGCTGTCATGAGGACCCGTGTCCACCATTGTCCACCCTCCGGTGCTCAACGCGCCTCAGCCTCGGAGAAGGGTAGGAGGTCAGCGAAAGACAGGCCAAAGTCATCCCAGGGGCCTATGATCGGTTCGCACAAGTATCAAGATGCCTTTGGAGCCCAGCTTTGATGCCAAGCAGCGACTGCCGTCGGCACTCAGGCTCCAATCATTTGCGATGTAATCGTAGAAGGCCTGCATGATCACAGTCAGTAATGTTATTTTGGCTTTCGACTTGCGCAGAAGCTCTTAGCTTCAAATGTGTCAAGAAAACCTTGAAGTCAGGACAACTTTCGGAAAGTGGTGTGCTCTCAAAAATGCTCGCAGTTTCTGCCGTCCGAGGAATGATGAGACAATTGTCAGCTCACGAGCAACTTGAGCTGCATTCTAAACTCCTTGAAGGGGTATAGAGGATTATATACGAAGGGGAGTTATAGGTTTTATCGAGGGGGTTCTAGGAGTTTAAACCATACCTCATTTGAAGGCGTACAAAGGTGCACAAAACAAACAAGCAAGCTGGCACGTCTGATCTATGATTGCTGTATGCGTGGCGATATCAGCGTGCATGGTAGGTCAATAACTGCCAAGGAAAGAACAGAATGAGGCCCACATGAAACCTTTGCCAGGAAACTGCCCGAACAGAAGACAACTTCAGAAAAACAAAAGCCGGATCCTGAACACCTCCAGAGGATCTGCCTGCTGGAGGCTGCGCAAAGTGAGGAGTCAAATTGCCTGCCCTGCTTATTTGTGTTGACGATGTGCTTGGATCTCCAGTCCAGATTACAATGTACATGACCGAATCAGTATCGAGTCTGACCGACGCGGCACCTTGCCATCTGTGCTCGCTCCGCGTGTCAGAACGGTGCCTCAATGCTGGTCTGGCGTCAAACTGGCTTTAGTCATACCTACAATGATAGCAATAGTGGGAGGACTGGCAGCAATCGACATGAGCTGATTGGCAGTGAGAATCCTGTGACAAGAAGAAGGATATTGGCAACATCGACTAGCAAGAAACGTCTACGTAGAATTTGCTAGCTGCTAAGCGCAGACCATCCTGTGCCCCGATTTCTGAATACTGCGC